ACACACACAAACACACACACACACACACTCACACATACATACACACATCACACACGTACTATAAAATTGTTACTCAACACCTCTATATCAGATCAAAAGGGAAGTAAAGTGTAAAGTAAAGATACAAATGTATCGAAAAAGGGAAAATAAACTGCTTGGTTCCAGAATGCTATACATTTATTATATATCCATTATCAATTGAAGAAACACTGAAGACAACAAAATGTTGGGTATGTTTATCAAAGTCTGGCACTGATTCCCTCATAACACACCTGCAAGTCCACAGTTTTCCAAACAACGACACCAGCCATAAACATGAAGTAGATGACCACTGACAAGTACAGTGAAGTCCAAGAATTTTTTGTTTGAGCTTCGAAAAGGGAGCTACGATGTATAATGACGAGACCAATGAAGACAATGATAAGGCCACGAATTATATCAACGATCATGCTATGCCCGAGTCAACAATCATGCTATGCCCGAGTCAACGATCATGCTATGCCCGAGTCAACGATCATGCTATGCCCGAGTCAACGATCATGCTATGCCCGAGTCAACGATCATGCTATGCCCGAGTCAACAATCAGCCGCGTCGAATTACACAATGTAAGACAATCGATGCACACCCCACAAAAAACAAACAAACCAACAACAACAACAACAACAACAACAACCAACAAACAACTACCCCCCAAAAAAAATTAAACAGAAGTAGACGAAGAAGAGTGCACCAGCGAACCCAAGGACAATGGAGGAACACGTCAATGCTATCGAACATCTGAAGCGACAGGGATGTCAGTACGTTGTTTGTACTCTAAACGCGTATTCATGCCATTCATTATTGACAAACAGAAGCTTAGACTAAATTTTTTTTCCAATCCACACCTGAAAAAATTCCCACTCTCAAAAATTCCACTGACATCTTTGCTGAGATGGAAAACTCAAATCTGCATTAAAAATTCTTTCACCAGCTGTACACCTTAGGCAGCACAATGTAGGCTACCATGTCCTTTTTCTGTTCACGAGATTAGCAAAGCCCCTACATGATTGTGTTCGACATCCTAACAAAATACAGAACACTCGGAACAGAAAAAAATAATTCATTATAGAGTCTAATTCAGTATTGACTTTGAAAATAGGCCGTACTGCTGCAGTCAATGCATTTGAGCAAAGTTTTCCTGAAACGAAATTAAAAGGCTGAAACTTTCATTTTGGCCGGAGCTGGTTAGTTGGTTCAAACACTTCAACGATAAAGGTCAGATAAAAATAGACCATTGCACAGATTGTTAGTATTATTAGATAAGAACACTCCAGTTCAAAATCAAGTTCAATGGCGTGAATGAAAACTATCCTTTAAAAAATCACAACTCAATTTTGCAGCCCGTGCTCGATACTAGATGGATACATCTGTACGGGTCGGATTTCAGGATGATGATTTGCAACTTAATGGCCCAGAGGCTATACGTTCTTACTATCTCTGGCCGTCTAGCCCAGAGGCCATCGCTCGAGGGAGAGGGTCCGAAAAGGAAAACTGCCCTAGGTCTTATATTATGTAGTAAATGTACTTAATAGTAGCCTACAT